TTTCATCCTACGCATCCCTACATCTTATCCAAATGAAATATGTTACTAAATAATGAAATATAATAGTATCATCTTTGGTTTTACAAACTTGTATGATATTTGATGAGTGTAAAAGTTGTTTTTTGGAGCATTTTTCTAGAGCCATTTTGTAGGGAAAAAATGATGAAAAATGTACAATCTTTTAATCTAAAGTATGACCTGAATCGATTACAAACTTCATATTTGCACATTTGATGAGATAAACGATAATCCATTTGTGTCATATTGTGAAATTATCAAGTTTGCAATCGATTCAGGTCATAGTGTATTTTTGTGATAATCAATGGAAACCAATGGCCTCTATTGGGATCTGCTGATATCCTCATGTTAAGTCAATGATGTAAAGCCCCATGTAAGTCAATACAACCTTACTGAACTAAATGGATCCGGTCTTAGTCTATGTGTGCCCGAGCACTTTAATATTTTCCAAAGAGTTAAATGACATTCTATTCTTCATGTTACACCTAAGAATTATTCATTTTGACCATAGGGGTATTTGCCAATAAACGCACCTCTTCTTTGTAGCATCGATGTTGCACTCTGGGAGCCAATCCTCCTTGTATGCCGCAGATCGTGATTTTTGATCTTATTTTTAACGAGAAATTTCAAAACTCACAATTAATGATCATGATATTGGTTCGAATCTTTTGGACTGTTTATTTTGAATTTATAGTCGGTTATTAATTTTTTATTAACGTTTTCATTCTTGGAAAATATCGAGTTTCCATCCTGGGAGCCAATCCTCCTTGATGCAGATTTAACAATATTAAAAGCTACCATACTGTTAGTCATTTTCATTATTTCAGCATTTTCCTCAACCAACTCATCTGCTAATTGAGCTCTGTTCTCCAATGTAATCTACCTATAAGGTTCGAAGCCTTTATGACCCGCGCCTGTTTTTGTCAAAATCTTTGCCTTTGACTTGTGTCAATTCATCAACCATTGGATCGTCATCAGTTAGTTCATTCGTGGTTGTCTTATTGTGCTCTACTAGAGGCGTTGTTTCAAGTGCATTTGTTTGTTTATTCTTTCCATTGATTTTTGACACTGAGTCAGCCTCGTTGGCCTCATGGACTATTTGCTCTTTGAAGCTCACCCCTCTGTTAAAGTTATGGACACTGATTGATGAATGTCGCCGTGGGGTTGTCTCGCAGTCGGACTGATATGCCATCAAATTGAAGGGACTATTGGGATCTTCAGTCAGCTCCCTTGCACTACAAGAAGGAGTATCAACAGGAACCGAAGAATGAAAATTGTTGTATCCTATCTGGTACTTGCCTGTGTCTCTTTGGTACATGGTAAGGCGTCTGAAACGGTGTCCCCAAAGTATCTCAGAGGGAAGGTATGATGTTCTGACCTGGGTAGTCATTCCTGTAGATTCAATGATTCCTTCCATGATGACAACAAGCTCGAATCTATCACGTTTAAGATCCTCCTTAGAGATGTGATAGAACGGACTGTTCTTGTCGATAATATGACAGGCCATCGTAGGCCACACAAGGAAAAGGTTACCATTGAGTGGTACATGGAAAGCAACATCCTGTTCAAATAACGGGAGGACCTCACCCTCTTTTGTGACGCTTCCTTTACTTTTATTGCTCTGATTTTTGTCTCAATCATATGCTCGCGCCTCATATCACCGACACGAAAGAGTAAACTCAAGATTCCCTCGCGCATGCAGACTACGGCGTTCTTGCTGAAGATTAATGTATGACAACGTCGCTTTGGACGCTGAATTTTGGAGAAGACAATCCCGGTAAGAATAGCCGTCATAAGTGTCCCTCCAACCGACTGAAGCATCATGAGAATAATTGCCTCAGGGCATTTAGATGTAGTCGCCCTGCTTCCATACCCAATAGTATGTTGAGTCTCAATACTGAATAGGAGAGCTGTCGGGAAATCAACAACCTCGTCCACACATGGAGTCCAGTCATTATCACCAATGTGGTTAAAGTCACCACGAGCCAGCAGAATAAGCCACCACAATAGCGCAAATATCAACCATGATAATATGAATCCACCAAGAAACATAAGGAGTATAAACCTCCATCTTGTATCTACCAAAGTAACGAAAATGTCCGCAATGTAACCACGTCCTCGACGGTGGATTTCCGTCTGTATGATATTGCGATCCCCATTCTTTTCAATCAATCGGCGTTTTGCGTTAAATGCATCATCATCACTCATTGATATGCGTCTCCATGTCATTCCAATGTATTCCGAGAAAGATCGCTTCCTTTCCCTGAATGCATTCGGACAGCACGAAATCTTGGATTCGTTGTCATAGCAACTCGAGTCCATCATGATCAAATGAAGTACAAATCACTGTAGCTTATCTATTCTACTCAAATTGATTTTGAGACAACATACGTTAATAACTTAAAATCATGTGTGTATACTTATTTGGAGATGTCTACTGTACCAATGCAACATAAAGAGGGTGTTTGCCCTATTTGTACTGCTCAGTCTCTACAGGGCGTTTCACTAAAATATCCTTTCACACATTGATAATTTAATAGACTTCACAAAAGGTTTTAAACTGTACAGAAAATCTATATGGAATATCATAATTGAATATACTAAAAATACACTATTTATATTGAAGATGTAAAATCCGTATTATTATATGATTATGGTCGTCATTTAGTCAGCATAATCCATCTTTAAACAGCAATACAATGTAATGTGACCAGACCTTATGGGAAAGGGGTTTATGTTTATTGGGTTAACTTAGCATTTTCATTTTTCTACAAAGGTTGCTATGGCTGTGAGTGCAGGTATGGTGAAGTATGTTTATTGCGTTACATTGTCCATTTGGTGCTCACGTGTAAAAACATGTGATTGGAATTCCAATAATAAATAAATTATATAAAATGTGCATGTACAGGGTGTCCAAAAAAACAGGACCATAAGAAAGTTGGATTACTCGGTCAATTTTGCATATTTTGCCTTGAAAGTTTAGAATTATTTAGTTCATTCAATGTGAATTTTGTTCTGAAAGTTTGATGAGAATCTGTTTATTGTGTCAAAAACTTAAGTAATTTACAAAACATGCTCAAAGTGGGCACTTCTCCTCTCTATGCACAAATGAATCCTGTGAACAAAGTTGTTAATGACCCTGACCTATACACATCAATGTGGATGGTACAAATTGGGGTAGTTATTGCTCTCTTAAGATTGTTAAGGGCCTGTCAGTATACACATTGGCTTTGAGAAATCCTCAAAGATAAAAATTTGGGGATTTAGATCTGGAGAATGAGCTGCCCATAGGGTTTGCGTTCTGCAACTGATGAGCTGACCACCAAAGCATTCCCTAAACCATTTCAGCATATAATTTGCAGTGTTGGGGTGGTATTGGCTTGTTGAAACCACTGCTTAGATGTCTCCTTAGATGTCACTTCTGGTGCTTAGTGACCTCCAAAACTTGGTGAGAACTTACTGGTCCTTGTTCATGGTGATAACACGTCCCCAGTCACATTAGAACCAAAAAGGACTGACGATTCCATATTTCCTCATTGCCACCCATGCAGTGCATTGTTCAGAATGCAATGGATGCTGTAACACTTCATCAGGAGCAATTGTTCTTGGAACAAACTTGTCAATTCAGAAAGACAGGTGTGTAGGAGGATCATCAACAACTTTGTTCGCTGGATTGAATTCTGCATAGTGAGGAGAGAGGCACATTTGGGGCATGTTTCGTAAGGAGCTTAGTTTTCGACTCAATTGGTAGATTATTATTAAACTTTCACAACAAAATTCTCACTGAATGAACTAAATAATTCTGAAATGTCAAGGAAAGATATGCAAAATGGACGAGTTATTCAACTTTCTTACGGTCCTGTTTTTGGACACCCTGTATATCATTTTTCGTGCTTTTTACACTAAATGGTGAACAACAGAAACAAACAGAACAAAGTGTTGAATTTGCTAAAAGTTATACATAAAAACAAAATCAATGACACCAACTTTTTTGTTTGATTATGAAGCATAAGTCATCAGTCATGGACATATAAACATAAATTAAAAAATATATTGCCTATGTTAAGTAACGTACCCGTATTATATGTACACTCAATTGTAAAGTTATTTATAGGCCTCTGGGTAAACAACCAAAATATACAAGCATTCCAATTAGTATTTTATAGAAATGGGATAAACAAATGAATTTAATATTGGTAAAATGCTTAATGAGAATCTCCTTGATTGTGGCAATTATTGAGAAAATTCATATGGAAAATGACATCAGGATCAGCTGCCATATCGTTTCTAAGAAAGATTTGTTATCATTTCTCCCAGTTCCTGACAATATAAAGGTCAAATAGACTTGAAACTTTGACAATGTACACCTTTTACAAAATAAAGGCAATATATTCTACAATTAAATGAAATCATAGAATTTAAACATGGTCATATTTGCAACAACTAAGAAGCAATAACAATGTATAAATATCCCACAAATGGGATCAAGTGCCCGAAATAAAATCTTATAACATTTATCATGGCTTTCCGTGCAATAAATGATATTAGACACTAAAATCTTCCACTTACAGTTTACATCTTTGTATATTTTTTATTCATTACATGTTACAGTAATATTTCATCATGCCAATAATAATGTACTGTAGATTGGGTTAATGTGGTGCTACTTAATTTGGCGATTTTGCCATTTTTGCATATTGCCTTGGCGGCTATTTAATTTGGCGGACACTAGGGCTTGGACATTGCTCTGACACCATAACTTCCATATATACTGGAATAAAATACAAAATATCACACCTTCAATTCAACTACTTAATCTAGCCATTTATTATTGAAAGAATTCCCAGTGGAAATGCTCAATCATTTTGATGTTTGTTCATTTTATCCATTTCAGATTTTGACAAAGTTCAAAAAAAATTCCTGGTGATCCGTTCGAAATGTTGGCGAAGATGAGCATTTTTTCCATTTCACCAAATTCGCCAAATTAAAGCAGGTGCCAAATTAACATAATCAACAGTATTCTTAACAGTCAACAGTATCTCAGTAGAGGTCAACAGTACATGAGAAGCAGTCAACAGATCAAAACCATTCAACTGGTTAACTGGATAACCGATTCACTTTATCCTTAATAAACTTCGCATATAGCATAGTTTTATTGGTGAAACAGCAGAGTATAAACTTAATACTATTGAATGCTAGTTTTGCTTCAAGATCTGTGAGAGGGACTGATTCAAATATCATTGTATGGGTAAATCTGCATATTTTAATGCATCAAACTCACTGGGATTGATATTTAAAGCATGGTCTGTGATAAAATGAGTACTCAACTCCCCCTCAGTATTATACAACGTATTACACTCTCCACATGAGAAGTACACATCATTTTCCATATTATCGGGCTGATTAATAACACTATATTCACCATCAAGCTCAACATTTTGAAGATTAGATGCCTCCTTTGCTTCGATGCCATCCTTTTGAGCAGGATACATCTCAAATGTATCAGTATTTTCATCCTTTTCTTCATGGAGAGATGTGTCGTGTGTCTCGGCATTATCATTGTTCTTATCATGTGTTTTCTGGTGTTCATACAGTTCAAGCTTAGTCTCTTTTGCTATGGTGCATATCTTACAATAGAATGCATTCTTATATCCATGTTTCTTTAACATGTGAGTTTTCCACATATCCTTTTTGATGCAGGCCCATTTACAGATGTTACATTTGAAAGGTTTCATACCTGGAAAATATTATGAATGAAAGCTACATTTATGTAAGATACTGTAGAACATTTCATTATAGACAAAAGATTGGATTCCCTTGAAGAATGTCAAAAGATTGGATAAAACAGCCATATACGGGTCACTTACTTTAGGCAGGGCTCTCGCCAGGATTTTAGACTGTGGTGCAGCACCACACTCTATTTAGCTCCCTCCACACCCTATTTGCAAATCATGACTGTTTCCACAGTTCAAACTTGACCGAATATACAATAATAGCATGTAAAAAGGATAAAACATAACATAAGTATGATTTATCACGATTGACAGTTATTCTGAAGATGTTATAGCACCACACCCTAAATATTTCCTGGTGAGAGCCCTGTAAGGTATTACAATATTATGTATGACAGCCTCATTTCATTCAAGACAACAGATTTAAAATTTAATGAATTAAAACATACATAATTTTTTGAGGTATTATCCCTCATGAATGGTCAATCATTGTTTAAAAGTGGTCACACTTAGAATAAAACAAAAAATAGCTTGCCTCGATGAAAGTGTTATTTTATTGAGCTTTGTGACCATGATGTGATCAACGTCATATAGACTGGAATGATGTATTTATAAGTAATGACAATTTCAAAAAAGGAAGACAAAAGAGGAAATAATGATCGATCAACTAGCTCCAGGTATAAGATGGGACAACGGGGAGCACTTGGATCAAATATATCATCAGCCTTTGAGATGACCCCCCTCCCCCCTCCCCCAAGCTGAAATTTCAAGCATCAGTTACAAAAATATTTCCCACTATTAAGTATTATCATTGGCTTTCAAATCTCTTGATGGCCTATATATGATCAATGAGACAGAATCTTTTACATATTAAAGCTTCACCTAAAAATATGTGTGATAAAGAAACTTTTAGTTGAATATGTCTATCAGAAAAATGAACATTCACTCTCAAATTGAAAACTTTTTTATTTATGAAACTATAATAAAGACTTGATTTGTGGAACCAAAGTTCTTGATCGATGCAATATTTCAGTTAACAATGACCAGAAAACATCAATAGAACAATATTTAATGTTCTCTACTTGATTTATATTACAGACCAACATTAAAACCTGTTTATTAATATAAGATTGGCAGGTTTCACATTTTGAGGTATTTCAACATGGGAGTCTATGGTAAAATGGGATATGATATGGTTCAAATTGAGAGGTGTTCAGATTAGAGAGGTGTATTCTTACCTGTATGGATCATTGCATGGTTCATTAAAGACACCTTCCTATGAGTGGAAAATGGACATCTGTTGCATACAAATTCTTTAGGCTTCATTCCATGGACCCTTGCAATGTGTCGTTCCAAATCAGTATTACGATTACCACAGTAAGGACAAACTTCCCTTTCTTTTATGTGCACACTTCTGTAAATGGACATTTAAATCTGATTATTTATAATCTTCAAGCTTTCTTGGGATTGAAAGAATTGGAGGAAATAAAGTTTATTTGAGAAGAGGGGAGAAATATGATTTTCATTCTGAGAGAATGGTAATGATAAAGTTTATACAGAATGTGACTTGCACCAGCATTTTTCACCAAGAAATATAAAGGAACTTTTGTTTTTCAAAAGCAATTGATAAAATCTAGATTTTTGAGACAGGGTTACAACAAAGTTGAATTGAATTTTATTTTTCTATTTAACATTTGATTTTTGGACATTACATCCCCATCCGCATCATCATCTAACAACGTTGTTAACAACGCTGTACAATACCGTTTCTAAAACAGCGTTGTACAACACCATTTAACAACACTGTACAGTACCGTTTCTGAAACAACGTTGTAGGCCTACAGTGTTGTTTGAGATTGGCTGTGTATTAGTATGACAAGGGATACTTACTTCATATGGCGATTAAGGTTTCCTTTCGAAGTAAATCCCTGTTTACAGTCAGGGAATGGACATGGAAGCAGACTCTCTCCATCGTGTTCACACTCTATGTGAATCCTCAGTTCTTTATGTTTGTCATATTTTTTACCACACACAGGGCAGACGGCATATCTTTTACGATGCCTGGTACCTTTATGAGTGTACAGTTTCAATATCGTATTAAATAATTCTCCACATTTATCACAAACGAAAGTTGACTTTTTCGGCCCATGTTTTTCTTGCAAGTGGCTTTTAAGGTGCACATAACTAGCACGATCAAACTTGCATTTTGGACACTTGTATTTTTTCTCTTCATGATGAAGCATATGTTTCTTTAATCTTTTCTCAACATCTGGCAGATCTTTTGTAGTTTTAAATCTTGCAGTCCATTTACACAAACCACACATGTATTTCTTATCTCCAACTTCATTGATTGTTATTTCATATTTACCAGCACAACGTTCTAAAATACGATCCCTCTTTTGAGCAAGATTTTCCCTTATCTTCCTTTTTATTGCACTTCTCCGCTGTCTATCCTCTCTATTCTTTTGTCTTTTGGCTTCTAGAAGTTGCTCTTCTTCAATAGTGAGAGGTGCTGAGCAAATTAATTCTGGCTTTGCAGAACTTACTGTTTCTAATTCATTCCCTGGTTCACTTAATTCATCATCTTCTTCTCCTGTCATGTCAACAATATCATCTTGTGCTAATTCACTTTTATTTTCATCAACAACTGCATCAGATGTACTCCTTGTTTCAATTAATTTGTTATGATCATTTTCATCGATTCCATCATTAAACTGAATGTTATCTATTGCTCCTTCACTTTCAGTTTCTCTGTGGCTTAAGATTCTGTCTAATGTGTCATTTACTGCAACTGCTTTGTCTGTTGCACCAACAGATATACCTGTCTTATCAAAGGATCCCAAACTCTTTTGAACATTTTCTTTGTTGCCCTGGTTGCCCTTGACCTTATTTTTATGTTTTGGTCCATTAGCTTTAGATCTCTTTGGATCTGTAGTGTTACACTCTGAATATATTGGTTGAAAGTGATCTTTTCCAGGATGACAACCCTGCTCTTTATGTAGTCTCAGTTCAACAGCCGACAGAAAGCCTCCACTACATGTGATACAGATAGTTATAGCCACCTTGAAATCCACCTCTGAAAATACATGTGATACATATTACATATGATTATAGCCACTTTGAAATCAAACTCTGAAAATACATGTTAAACATATGGTTATAGCCACCTTGAAATCCACCTCTGAAAATAAATGTGATACATATTACATATGATAATAGCTATTTTGAAATCCAGCTATGAAAATACAAGTGATACACAAAACTATAGCCACCTTAAAATCCAGCTCTGAAAATACAACTGATACACAAAACTAAAGCCACCATAAAATCCAGCTCTGAAAATACAACTGATAAGCAAAACTATGGCCACCTTGGAATCCAGCTCTGAAAATACAACTGATAAGCAAAACTATAGCCACTTTGAAATCGAGCTCTGAAAATACAAGCGATACGCAAACTATACCCACCTTGAAATCCAGCTCTGAAAATACAAGCGACACACAAAACTATAGCCACTTTGAAATCCAGCTCCAAAATACAAGGGATACACAAAATTATAGCCACCTTGAAATCCAGCTCTGAAAATACAATATAGCTACTTTGAAATCCAGCTTTGAAAACAAATGTGATACAGTCACCTTGCAGCCACTTTTCAAGTGCAATTATTTTACTCTATTCATTCAAGACACATACAGCAGTCCTGGTGAGTCAATAATTAGGCATCTCACTGACATAAACCCCTTTTCCTGGGTTCATTTAACATGTAAAAGGCAACCATATTTACCTGATTTTACTGTGAATATTTTGTTTGGATTCAGCAGGAAGTCTGGGATGACTGTCATTTCTCTATGACTGATTCCTGGTTTTGCTAGATTGTTAGGGTAGTAACTAGTTATATTCTTCATACTTTGTTCAAAGTCATACCGAGATGGCATTTCATGGCCTGTTCTTGATGGAATCGGAGACAAATCTGGTCTGCAAAATAATAATTATGATAACTTAAATTGTGTGCATGGTAAACATGATCATTGATGTACAATGTGCCTAGAGAAAACAATTCGACAGAAATGTTGATCTGTATGCAAATATTAGCCTGTTTTCATACACCTTCAACTTTTATCATAAAATCAGGTACCTTTATACATGTACATGTATATTTATTACCTTAGGCTTTAAAAATTAGAGTTGATAACAAAAAATGACTCAGTCAGCTAAAGTGGTTCATCCTTCCATAGACATATATTAAAAAGGACAGAAGCTTATTCATCTTGCCAATGGGCTGTCCCCTCAGTTTTATGCGATTACGCACCCGCAGCATAATTCCGCATATTTTACCTTTGCCCGCATAATCCACAAACAAGCGCATAAAGTTGCATAAAAGACAAAAATCCCCACTAACTTGCAAAAAATGCCAACTCGGCCATTGATTCATAGATTAACCTGGAATGAATATGTGTTACTTGAACAGTTTCTTATCAAAATAATGACCAAATTAAAAGAAATCATAGTTCTACATTCAAAACTTTTTAGCGGAGGTTCAGTGATGGGGTGTATTTTGCGGACAACGACCAGGATCCGGCAGTTTATCTCACTGCATGTATATCATTTCGAAACAACAGCTATTAACGGTAGCTTTATTTTTAATCTATGATACTGATCCTAACTGTTTTTTCTGACTACGAATTCAACTGCCACATTCGTCAACTATCCGCCCTTTGCCCTTTTCACAACATACTTCCGGTCACGAAATTCGAAAAGGACGAGGTTTAGGAAGTGAGGCTCTGAATCTGACTCTGAAATGACACTACTTTAGATGTGTTTCATTAAATATTTGGAATAAAAAGTATTATGAAGCACTGAAGCCTTCATTTCATTCAATTTCTTGTGTTAAATCGATCGCATATTTTTGCATAATTCAACAAAATGAAAATCGCATCAATTTGCATAATATCAAGAATTTTAAAAATTGCATCGCATAATTTGAGATTTTTTTTTGTGCATAAAACTGAGGGGACAGAATGGGTTGGAACATCAAAATGACTGAATGGAAGAAGACCTAAGATTTGAAATACGAATACTGCATTTATGGACAAGGCATTAACATGAAAAATGTCACTACCTGCCATTTGTTACAGGTTCCAAATGCAGAACACTGAACACTAACTGCCGAATGCTGAAAACAAACTGGTGAACACTGTCTACAAAAAAAATCGAGACTATAGCAATATGTCATCATTTGTTGTGGTGACATAACAATATGCAAAAATTTTACATGTCTATAATCTGATAAGAAAAATACAAATTTAACCTACTCAATTTTGATTTGTGGTATTTCAGATACAGATGGATTAGAGATGACCACTTTGAGTGTTGTTGTGTCTATTGGCTCTAGTTTAACTCGTGGGTTGAGATCTAAGCCTTCTACACATGCAGGATACTGCAACATAGCTTTCTTCTTTTGAGGTGTCCAATCAAAGAGGAACTCCTCCCGTAATTTGGGCATGGGCTTTCGCCGACTCTTTCGAACTGATTGTTCCATTTTGAAGTAGCTTTATTCACTTATCAATGTTCATTGCTTTCCTGAAAATAAATGAATGTGAATAAAATCCAAAAAGTTTGATTTATAATATCATTCAATCTTTCAAAAATATAAATTAATGTTTTGGTAAATACATGGTTGAATTTGAAATAATCTCATTGAGTTGCCCTAAAATTTCCAATACTGGACCAGATCCCCAAGTCTTAGAATAACTCTGTTTAAATGTGGTAGAAATGTATCCTGTGCATTGAATATTACATTGAAAGAAATATATAGTGCTTCAAGACACTGAAACCCCTCTATCTAATTCAAGAATTGGCTGTTAAACTGGTTGTTATCTTGAAACAAGACTAAAATAAGTATGTTTTAAAAAGATATGACAACTTTTTTCATTTTTTATGCTTTGGTGAATGTAAACAAAAAAGGTTACTAGTAGTTCACTATACATGGCTTTTTAACTCTTTTATCCACAGGTACTGTAAAACGGGTAATTTTGACACCGGGAAATTTTAGCGATTTTTCAATTTTAGGGGGTTTAGCGCGGGAAATTTTAGCGAAATGAAGATTAATCTTTAAAAAATCAAATTAGCGAAATGCATTAGAAATTTTATCATTTATGGCAGAAGAATGAATAACGGACATGACAGAGGAATTATCAAAATGTAAGACTTCTAACGCACATGGTATTGGTCCAAACTACTGTAATCTCATCTGACTAATCACAAAATCACGGTAGCATTTAAAATCGTTGATTTTTCGGTCCTAACTAATCTCATCTGACTCACCGGAAGTCGAGCACTGAACGAAAAGCTCCTTGAATACTAGTATTCATGTAGTTTCCCGGGAATTGGCAAATTTTAACGCCTGGTTTATTTTAACGCCGGTTTATTTTAGCGAACTGAATTTTTAGCGAAACTATAGCGATCGCTAACAATCGCTAACAATTACCCCTCGCTAACAATTCCCGTTTTACAGTATACAATATTTTTCCTGTACAAAGTACAATCAATTCCCTAGAGACTGTACTGCAATATCACATGCAGAACTAGGCTAGCTGTGAAACATCTCCATTTCCGTAGGGTAAAATTACCATTTTTACTGAAATGTGTGTAGTTATATTCTGTAGTAATGTCAACAAACCCAGTGCCAGACTCGTGGTCGGGGCTCTTATGTTTTTTCTTATTTCTGACATTGTTTAAGCAAATCAGGCTCACACCAATTCTTTAAGCAAATCAGGCTCACACCAATTCTTTAAGCAAATCAGGCTCACACCAATTCTTTAAGCAAATCAGGCTCACACCAATTCTTTAAGTAAATCTTGCGCATGGAATACGTTTAAAACAAAGTTGAATTTTTATCAAAATAATTACAGATTACTCATGATTTTACAATTTTCATCATACGACACCATTAGTACTTTAGTAGACTTAAGGGTGTTCTATTTACTCTTGTCATGAAATTACAAGAGTAAACAGGTAAAGCTTTTTACTTGGTGTATTCAACTCAATCTTTTTTATACATGTTCCCTTCCCGGGCCTATATCACTGATTGTCCCAGGGTAGAAACCCAAGCCGTATTCTACCGTTAAACTCAATCACGACTCCAAGAAAATTCAGATTTAATAAAGAAAGCAGCATATTGAGCTTAACTTGCTGAACTAGCCTACACTTCTCAGCTCCAGTCCATGACTAAGTTTGGAACATAAATAAGGTCTATCGCTATGAAAAAGACATTCTGTCGCACATGTAATAAATTCTTACCCCAGTGAATTAAGTGCTCTACTTTCTCCGTCCTGGAAAGTACAAATATAGTGGAATTTGTGTCTATAATGACCATTGGGAACTTAAAAATTTGAAGTGATTTTCACATGTTATGCCGACCCTTCAAATGTTGAGGTGATTTTGGAGCCCAATTACATCGGCTGCAAGTGCAAGGAGGATTAGCTCCCAAAATGCAACATGACACGTGACAGCTTTCAAAATACAGTTCGGCCAGGGTATGAACTATGAAGCCTTGGATTCATTTATCACGCGGTACAAACTTCGACCGTTAATTCAAATTTTTGACCTACCAGGTGTTTGAAAATCAAGGATTGCGAGTCTCATACTGCACCGTTTTTCTTCAAACTTGTTCCATTCAAAGCAAAACAAAATTGCCTTTCTGTTGGTACATTGCTTTATTGAAGAGTCGATCGTTTTAGCAGTGTTTTGGTCCCCAGTTGTGAGAAGCCCTTCTCACAGCTGTGGACGTAAATGCCGCTGAAAGTAGGGACTCTGTATTGCAGAATAATGTACCAACAGAAAGGCATTTTTGTTATGCTTTGAATGGAACAAGTTTGAAGAAAAACGGTGCAGTATGAGACATGCAATCCTTGATTTTCAAACACCTGGTAGGTCAAAAATTTAAATTAATGGTCGAAGTTTGTACCGCGTGTTTACATGTATGTGCTCTTAGAGTGAACAGGAATTATTTTTCTACCATATTTGGGAGAGTTTGAGACATAAAACTTAGAATTTAGCTCATTGAGACCACAGGAACTTGTAGCACTATGATATGAAATGCTTATATCTCATATCATAGTGAGCCATAGACATAGTCATGGGCGTAGCGCTATTTTTCTAAGTAGTACGCCACCACCACGGGAACAAGAGTTGAGTGAATCAAAAAACGAGCATTCAGGTGGGTCTGCATCATTCACTCATCCTAGTATTCCGTGATTCCGCGTCGCCGCAGAAAAACCGCAGAAATTTGCATTTTCATTTTTTTTGCAGAATTTTTGTTTTGGCACGAAATTTCGCGGAAAACATGATTTTTCCAGTCAACCATCCCATCTCATATTTGTCACTCACCTAAACACCCAAAGACTCCGCTCGTTTGTTGTCAGATACTTGTGTTTTGTCAGATTTTCAAGAGGAAATCTGAAATCTGTTTTAAATTCTCGAACTTCCGCCTTTGCACTTAGAGGTAAGACTGCGTCTAACATAATCACGAAATTTGAAACCGATGACTGTCCCTCGTAATTGTTTTGCAATAATATGTCTAATATTGTATTCTTTTGTATTCTAACGCAATAAATCATGCTTCTTCTTCCGTTTTACTTCGTCATATATAAATAAACGACATCTGAATTCCCTGCATATTGATCTGGAATTTCGTGATACTTCGAATTTCGTGATAGTTCACAAGTGAGCATTTGGTAAGTTTTGTCGCTAATTGATTAAAATTGCATCTGGTGTTATTACTGCAGTTGTCCATTATCGCTGAAGAAAGCAGCATGAGTGGAGTTCAAGAATTTTGAATTATTAATTTTTTGGAAAAAATTATTGATTTTAGCAAGAATTTCATTTTTTGCACATACTTGAACCGCAAAATTTCACTTTTCCCCGTGCAGAATTTGGTGCAGAATTTTAGATTTCATGCAGAATTTGGTGCAGAATTTGGCTTTTTCATGCAGAATTTCTGCGCAGAATTTGCATTTTTCTCATGCAGAAAACTAGGATGTGTGATCATGATAAACCATGCCATCTCAAATCTTCTCAGCCCTGAGATGCCATGATATAATGAGCTTGATTTGGCGATCCAGGAGAGCCCAAAATTGAGGATTTTTTAGATCTTTCATCCCAGCTCATATTTCATCTAATTGGGGTCATTAAACTTGTGTACTGTGCCTGTTGTAATATCTGCTGTTAAATACAATGCCTATTATGTAATGTATTGACATTAAGGTAAATGATTACATGATAACAATCACACTTATTGACAGTTATAACTTTTCCCATCTGATTTGCTCAGATCACAGAATATGCCTCATAATATCAGAGCATGTTTCAGGTTAGGTGCATTCATGCACCCTCTGGGTCTCTGAGGATCGTGTTGGCCCCTCTAATGCAAGTCCTTACGACAATCCAACGCATTAGAGGCGGTGTTCACCGTCTAGTTTCAGGTGAAACAGAAAGATGCTAGGAGTATCAGAATGGTGGGTCTGGGGGTTCTCCCCCAGGAAAATTTTGAAATTTGGTTGTATTTGGAGCGAATATGCAACCATCTGGTACGCCTGTGCGTACCCAGCGTACCGGGCGCTACGCCCATGATAGTGCTTCAAAAAAATACAAGTTTTGATGGGTGAAAACTAAGTTTCCCAGTGTAAAGAAATGTTATGCCAAAAGGAGCTCGACCTAGCTTATTGCCCATTATACAGGCAGAGATCTTTTGAAATATATGCTAAAAGTTACGCAAGTATATACAAGCTTTATATCTCTTACATGTTCTCATACTTACAGATTTTGCTAAAATAACTTGGGTGCTTCGAATTATTTTTACTTTTTTCACAACCAACAAGGAGTGAAGTGATACAACTATTTCATTGGCCAAATGATCTGTGACACGCCACTAACAAATAATTCGTCTGCTAGGACAAAGGCTACCGTGCCTCTCTACCGTATCTCCTCAATATAGCGCACCACAATTTCAAGTATAAAGTTTTGAATGGTCATGGCATCAAATTAGTCAGGTTTTACTGAATATTGAAGACATTGTACATTGTAGTAATTATAATAGGACATGTTTGTTTGTTTATATCCAATGTTTTGAGGACAAAAATCTTGCGGGTAGTCTATATCACAAATAGGTGATGAAGTTTGAGTGCAAGAGATATACAGGGTGTCAAGTTAAGTTACACAGACTTTGTATTGTAATGTAGACTTTAACAAAAACTGTCCCAATAAAGAATATTGGCCCAGTCCAACAATTATCTAAAAAACAATGCAAATGGGAGGCACTTCGCAAGAGTTACTATATTTCCCTAAGAATATATACCCTCGACCCCCTAAACCTTGCAACATACCACTCATTTATCCAAATGACTAACAAATTGATTATTCAATCTGCTAACTGCTGAGTGATGATAGATGTAAATAGCCTAGTGATAACGGAACATGATAGTATTTTCATGTATCTATAGGGAAGCAGAATCCTGCATTCTCATTCTGATATTGAGCATTTTGTAACTATATGATTTTCTGAGGAATGACAATTAAAAATAAAAATTTGATACAACTGTTTTAGATTTCTTAGTTCTTATTCTTTCATAGAAGCAGCATTGTAAGATTTATAGATTGGATGACATCAGTTTATGCCTGGATCTATCATGTCTATAGATAAGGCTTTGCAGTATTTTCATATGATATATTGCAGTACTATCATAGGATTAACAAGGCATTAACATGACAAAATGTCACCACCTAGTTGCTCACAATATTAAGTTCAATCTTCAGATCTAAATACCTTTTTGACCTCGAGAAGGTCCATTGAAGGTCAAATCTCAAATTTAAAGTCAGATTTTAGCTTTTAAGAACTTGTAGATGATTTTGTTACAGACGCCAGATGCCAACCACCAACCCCAGTCAAAAAACGGAGACCATAACAATATGTCACCAAATAAAAAAAATCCAAATTGGTTTCTGTTTTACCCAGTGTGATTTAGATAGGACATGGGACATGTGGGATATAATAATTGAATCAGTTTCAGTTGTTTGAACAACATTTTGGGGACACTTTTGGGGAGATAATCTTTTGCCTCCAAGAAGTCTGGGTACCTCTTGCTTTCTACAATTTCCTCCTGGGAGAACCCCCACTTGGTGGAAATTCTGCTATCTTCAAAAGCTTCATTTTTTCAAGAGATGACAAGCAATATAATTCTGATAATAATGAATAAATTTAAAATGAATTTACACAGAAATGTAATTCTGTTTTATATAAAATATCTTTATTTATCTACAATTTACATTAATATAATGCATAATATACAAGTACATATTATTATGTTATTACACAAGTCCTATTCCACACTTCATTAAATATACTCCACTGGCAAATTGAGACTATGGAGGTTGCACAAAACATGGCATCCCTTGAGCCAAGTGCGCCATCCGGTGAAATGAGAGGGTGCCATGATTTGTGATATACCCTTGTTAAGATTGAATACATACATTAATATTATTTCGTTTTAATGTAGGATAAATGTACTTCCATGTTGTAGATAACATTGATATACACTTTTTTTGATTCAATATTGCCCAAAGGCAAACATAAATAAATGTCGCCTTTTTATACATCACTACCATGTTTGTTCAGAAAAAACAAAAAATAACAAAAAATAAAATAAAACCTCACTCCCTCCTTCCACCAAAAACTCAGCAAAATAAAAAACATGAACTTTATTTAAGTAATTTGGACCTATAGACCCCATGGTTGTCCTTATACACATAGTAGTTACTATGTATAGACCCTCTATGGAAAATTGGAAATACAGTAAGAAATGAACTGAAATACAGGCTCCAAAATTCCATCACATTTGTGGTTATTCCAAAATGAGTGTGTAACACTTTTGGGTCACCCTGTAAAAAGTAAATATCCCAATTTAAAACAGAGAATAATTATCATCAGCCATCACTAACATGGCACAGGCTACACAAGAATCAATAGATATTATACTACACATATAAAATCATTCATTCAACAGAGGCTCAACCAGTATTATGAATTAATTAATTTTGGCTCACTTGTAATATTATATATGAGGCTTATAAGTTATAATAACATTCAATATTTAAAATTTGTAATTGATTTACTCATATTTGAAACCTGAATATACATCATGTTCATGACACCATACAGTTTTCAAATAACCATGAACATTTACATTATAATAATCATGATGAATTGTACAGGTATTTTGATGAATTTCAAAGTGCGAGACTGTGCCAAAATAACCATGGTTACCGTATATTAGATAATTTTTAGCATTTCAAAGATGTTACTTTTCTAAATGGTATTTACATAAATACATTTTGATACCAGTGTCATACTGTAATGTTTTAAAATAAAGCCCAGACCAGAATTCTTAATATTTCATACAGTCATTGTAATTACAGACCCGTGCTTCACTTAAAAAAGTAAACTTTTCAATGTGTTGAAAATCTGGTCATTTAACGTCACACAAAATTAACAAACAATGGTAAACCCAGTCTTATTTCTTTTTCTCAAAGTCAATAACAGAATTCACCCTGTTTCACAGGAGCTACAGTATCAATATGCAGAAGTAGAAAATAGAAGAAACAGATATGAAACTTTATTCATTTAATTTGAACAATAGAAGAAAGATTGAGAATGATTCGCTAAATTTCTTCTTTTGAATTTCAATAAAATTTTTGGTCAGTTGGCTTTTTACCTTTTTTTCGAAAGTTGAGTTTGGTTCTAAACTTTCATTCAAACTTCATTTTGAGATACTAAAACTCTGCATACTGAACTATAACATCCAATCCAAGAATCTACCCGTTTTATCCGCCAAACTAAATGCCCATCCTCTGGTATGCAATCTGGGGTGCACCCTGGATACCAGGCTCCCCAGCTCCATCTTTATAAAACAGCCAATATGGCCGATACTTAAACAAACCACCACCAGGTGTCACCCTATATTGAAAGGAAAATAGTGGAGCTAGCAAGGACTAAACGAAACAAATTGGAAGTTAAGACTATAAACTGCATGGGAAAACAACAAAATCAAGTGAGGAATTAATGGAATTAAAGAATTCCCCATGTATACAGCTTTCAAATGGTACAATTATGAATTTTGAGGAAAGTTAACAAATCATATATTCTTATTAATGATTGAGTATCCACAGCAGGATTCTCACATGAAAATTTCAGAAAAAATTCAGAATCCAGAAAAACATGCATCCAGTGATTTCAAATATTGCGGCATTGGGTGGCATCACCACTCCCATGTGTGGTAATTCTTCAGTTTTTACATTCTTGTTGAGAACAAAAACGATTGACTTCCTGGTAGTAGAGAATTCAACTCTCTACATGTACATTTATACTAATATACACTAGGGGTCCCGCGATACATTACGAAATCATGGGCGTAGCGCCCGGTACGCTAGGTACGCACAGGCGTACCAGATGGTTGCAAATTCGCTCCAAATACAACCAAATTTCTAAATTTTCCTGGGGGAGACCCCAGACCCCCCGAATGCTCTTTTCTTTATTCACTCAACTCTTGTTCCTGTGGTGGTGGCGTACTACTTAGAAAAATAGCGCTACGCCCATGGAAATGATAAGATACAATGATTCGATATATTTTAATGTCATTCTGTTAAAATTGTCGAATGTTCAGCTTAACATTACGTCTATAATTATAGATAAACGCTCGTAACGTAACCAAACGAGCCAATGGATGAATCGCAGGACTCCTAATATACACATGTGATATTTTTGTTTTTTTACAAAATTATGCAATTGTATTCTACTCTATGCTACACTGTCCTAGACTAAATAATTCAGTTTATGCTAATTACATTAATAAAAATACTTAGTAAAATTTGATTTTTATAAAATACTGGTACTTATGATCTTGGTTCATTACTCAAAGTAACCTTGAATCAAATCTGTATGTGGCACCTATCCTTCCAAATCCCTTGCCAGCACTGTATTTAATTTGTTTTCTGCTTATTGCCTAAACACCCCAGACAGAAAACCTGACACCACCCTTTAGTTTTTTGTTTTTTATAATTTTACTATGTTTGTTAAATAAAAAACTGCCACCAATGTTTTTCAACTTCGGCAGTCACTACATGTGTAATTTGTATGTACTAAAATTGAATAAAGAAGAATAAAAAAATAAAAAACTGTCGTGGGGCAGGCCTGTAGCCAGGGGGGAGAGGAGGGAGAAGCCGCAGAATCATGCAGTTTTTCACCATTCTGAGCACTTTTCGCATGAATGAACTTTGAATGAATGAATGAAACTCCACCCTTGGTAAAACCGCTCTCCCCCTAGTAAATCCTGGCTACGAGCCTGTAGGGGGTACACTGTGAACACTGTATTCAATTGGCAATTTTGCATTGCTATCTTTATGTCAGCTAACACATATAGGCGCATATAGCTTGGGGAAAGTCATGATGCTCTCTCAAAAATTTCAGTTGTTTTTGAAAGGTACAGAGTTAACTTGAAAAAGGCTTAAAATATAAATAATGACTACATAGTCCAATGTAAGATAATATACATCTAAGTTTAAGCAAATGTAAGACCAATAATATCATTAATAAATAAATACATGTACATGCTCTCATAACTGTTTTATTTAAATCAAATTTATTGTTAAAATAATTGTTAAAGAATCAAAAATGCTTCAAAGCAAGATTCCCCCATTGATTTCAATGGGTCAGCTTGAGTCAACCTTTAAATGCATTTAAACTGAGATATTTAATGAACATCCATTTCTGATACCATGTGATCTTTAAAAATACTCCGATGAATCGGAGCTTATGTAATCGAGACATAAAGGGGTGGTAAGAAAACCTACTAGTTCATCCCAATAGGAATTCAATGAACACTTGTTAGATTGTTGATTGAATGCAGCAGTACTACTTATTGAAGCCAGTCTCTGTTTGTAACAGTTAAAGGACTTTACACTTAAAAAATGCAAAGTTAAGACTGTTCTACAGTCAGTTAGGCCCTACTACAGATCACCACCTTCAAGCAAGAAATAGCATTTTCACCTTTCCTGAATTGGTCGTAAGACCAGTCATTATTCTTCAGATTGATGTCAGTATTCATTGGATTGATGTCAATATTTCTTTGATCCATGTCATGATTCCTGGAAGTGATGTCAGGATTCCTTGAACTGATGCCATTATTCCTCGGATTGGCTTGATGTCAGACCTCAGGGTCAGTTGCCCCACCAATGGAGTGGATCCACATTGATGGTGCCTTGGAGCAGTGCTTCGCGTGTATCAGGATCTATCAAGTGAAGACCATCCCTGGGATTCACATAATATGTTGTTTATCCGCGGTTTAATACACTACAATACTAGATAGTACACCTGAGATAACACTCCGATCAGGAGATGTTTCAATACTGCTTCCAACGCTATCACAGCCTCATTTTGATCTTACATTAACAGACTGACCAATCATAAAAATTCACTCAGCTCCTCTTGTAGCCAATCAGGTATTGGCGTGGTGCCAAGTCTCAGCAGTAGCTTGGATAACGCCACCAGGTGGCGCCTATAAAATAATTTCAAGAACTTTTCAGCTTTAAGTTCCATAGGGGGATATACCCGTCCTTTACTGCGTCCAAGACACTTTGTTCTGTCTCCTTGTACTAGTTGACAATAGAAACCCTTCTTGGGGTTGTACCTGGAATATAGCGTAATAGAAATGAATTGTCAGATGTATCCTAAATAACTATATCCTATCAGGGGTGTAGCCGGCTTTCAGTCAGGGTGATGCGATCGCCAAATAAAATTTGGCATTGTGTCATAAACAAGCCAAAAATCCCACCCATCGCACCGCCCCCCTGGCTACGCCTATGTCTATAATGCATTCATTATACCTATTCCATGTAGGATCCACACAATAATCATATTGTGTGATCTTCATTTTAACTAATATTGATCTTTATACTAGTATTAGGAGAAAATGCCAATGAAACTAGACTTTGAGTAAAAAGTAGTTCCCAAGGATTTCAGTATATACCTGAACCTTATCTTTCAGTTATATGTAATGTAACCTTAAAAATGTAACCCTATTAACTGAAAATTCACTTTCTCAACCATGCCGGTATACTATTGAATTTTCTCATGTATCTAGTATTGTACTTATGGGATTGAGAGATATCATAATATCACTCTGTTCATTTTTTGGGTCACCCTGTGGTTTCCTACCTGAGTGATTGGTTGTAATCAAAGCGAGGTTCGATGTGTATGAATTTCTCAACCTTGCTCATGAGGCTTACTGGATCCCCCTTGAGGGCCTCACCATCTAAGATCATCAGCTGAAAGAAGAAACAAAACATAATATACTTCACAATTCCCCACGTGAGCCTCATCAAGCAGCATAAGCTGAAAGGATAAGAACATGACTTTGTTTTCATTCACAATTTCCCTAAGGAGCCTCACCGTGAAATCTGAAGGGAAAAATGTAACCATCTGGATCATAAGCTGAAAAAAAAACCATATTTCATAACCCCTCATGCAGCTCTGATTCTATTGGTTATGTTTATTTTACTTGTTTTGGTTACATTTTTAACAGGGCTAAGTACTAATGAGAACCCCCATCCCCTCGCAGTCTATAAATAAACACAAAAGTATTAATATGAGCCAAAAACAATGATATGGCAGAAATCAAAATTAATATTCTGAATGTCAGTAACCACCACAAAAATATAAGATTTTTGTTCGGTGGGATAACAAAGTATTAACATACAAAATGTCACCACCTGCCATTTGTTACAGATGTCAACCACTGACCACCATCAACAAAAAAAGTTGGAGACTATAAAACTATGTGACCACTTTTGGTGGTGCCATAAAAATGAACAAAAATTATGACGCTTTACCTGTTTAGGCTTGTAGAACTCTAGCCAACGCTCCAGGTGGGTGGAGTAAAGACCTGGCTTCAGACAGCGCTCTCTCAGTTCTTGAAGGTTACGTGGCGCATCTTGCCCAGCAGTCACTACTTCATAGAATGTGTATGTCATTGCTGTTTGGTCGCCATGGGCTCGCATGTGCTGGAAAATGGACAGGGACATACATGGCTTATGTAATGCATACATAGTACTATGTAACATGAAAAAAGCATCAATTTTTGATAACCCAGCATGCACAAAACCTTATAAGATATTGATACTAGAACTTATTGCATCTGTAATATATCATGTTTAACCGATGAACAGTTTTCTTGCTGTTTTGAAGACAACATTGTGTCGCACGCCCATTACATCAACTCAAAACCACTATGACCTAGCACCTTTCAAGTGTGAAAAATAAAAGTGTCACACGTATTTACCTGGTACCATGAGTACGCTCTCTTGGCTGGGTGGATGATTATACAGATCAGTTTTGCCTGAGGTAGGAGGGCATAGGCCCTCATGGGAGCCAACTCACTGTCAAAATAGTTGGCGCTCTTCTCGAACAGGAAGTTGCTGGTCGTGTTGGGAGGTAGAGGGAAGAATTCCATGTACCTGTTGGGAATTTAAATTTTGTATATGATACGTGATGGCACAATAACTAGATCAATTGATTTTCTGGTCTATAATCGAGTATATATGATTACTTTTTTATAAATCCAAATATTAGTAGTTGTTTTTCAGGTTTGTTTATCATATTTGAATTGTAACAAAGATCTCGTTTTGACATGATTTCAGTGTTTTAATAATGAACAGAATTAACCTTTTGGTCATATATTGTGGCATAAATCTTAGAATCTTGGTCTTTATTCCTTAAATTGATCAAAATACTTTTTAAAGAAAAAACGGATTTGAACCAAATGAAGCTACTGTATATCAATGTGTATAGTGTATACCAAATGGATTTTATACAGTGCATTATCAACTTCGCTTTGATCGTTTCAATCTTCTCAATTACTTACCAGTCCAAGCCCTTGTAGTAATTGTTTCCATTGAAGAACTGGACCTCCTCAAAGGTTGTCTTACTCTGGTAATTGCTCAGTATTGCTGGGTGCATTGCTAGGAATGTGTACAGGGCAGTTGTACCTACAATGTAAAGCCAAGTATAACAAAGTTTGCCCAGTCCAAATAGCTGAAGTAAAAATCGCTAGTTGAGTGAAATTGAATTTAGCGCAATCTCAAACCAATTGAACCCCTCGTGCCTCCATGAATGAGATAATTGCCAAGTTGCTTTCTTGAGAAATCAAAATCACAATATTCTTTGATTTCCCAAAAGTGCAATTCGCCATGTTATTTATTTATCCTTTACCTTGAACTTCTTAAACTTGGTATTATCCAATTATCTTCGATGAAATGAAATTTCAAGTATACAAAAAATGAAAAAAAATATGTTTTTCAATCTTGTAGATTTTTCAACATGAAATAAAAAGTGAAGACATATTTTTCAAATTAAATGTTTATGCCATTATCAAAGAATAGGGACACTTTCAGATCTATTCATGATAATAATTTGTTTTTTACATACTTATCACACGTAAATCATGTACATCATGTACATGCTAAGAACATGACATCAATTTATCAGCAAAAACTGACCTGTCTTCTGGGGACCAATAACAAGGAAGCGAGGTAGTCGATTACAAGTCTTGTTCTTTGACCAGATTGCCAGGTGGCGCTCATCATCACACGGATTCTGCCAGATTGGGTCCTCATCTTCTGGGAACATCTCAAAGTATCTGCAAATCATAATATCCATTTATTTTGAGATTAACCCAAAGAGTGTCCATCTATGCTTAACATGATAATTTATTACACATAATTATTAGATACATGATACATAGAGTAATGAATTTTTTTACTAACTGCCCCAAGGGTACAATAAAAATTACAACACAATAGAATTGTGCAAACCAAACAAGGCATCAACATGATAAAATGTCACCACCTGTTAATGGATTGCAAATAGCTATGGAAATACAAAATATTGTTAAAGATGTTGACCACTGAAGCCGAATGCAAAAACTCCAAACTCCAATTAGAAGAACAATAATGTGTAACAGTATGTTACAACTTCTTGGTGGTTACATAAATACTCACAAATAATCTGAAAGCTTACTTGTTTGCAAACTGCATTGGGGGAAGACTTTGTAAGTCAAGATTGGTCCAGCATTGAGTGAACTTCACTGCACTCTCAAATGTGTACAACGCAAGGCGGTCATTCCCATAATTCGACAAATGCGTCATAAAAACACTGAACTGAAACGTATAACAATATTTTTAAAACAGTTTTAACCAATTCCAAAGGCCTATCACAGTAGTTAACTGGGAAAACAAATTTAGAACAAAACAAATATGCATAGCCTCACATTGAGCAGGTGAGGCTACAGCCTCGCCAAAATACTTGCAGGAAATACAACAATTCAGACATTTCTTATATTAATAGAAACCTTGAATATGAAGCTTGCCCGTAGCCAGCTTTTACCAGGAGGGGGAGCTTTTTTCCAGGGGGGGGAGCTTTTTCACAATTTTGGCTAAAAATCATGCGAAAAATTCTCAGAATGGTGAAAAACTGCATGATTTTGAAAGAATTTCCGCTCCCCCAGCTCCCCCTCTGGCTACGGGCCTGTGAAGTCATATGAAAGTGTTATTTCACTTTTACATAAAATTTGTGACATCAAATGTACTGTCAAAAAAATGTGAACAATATATTTTTCAAATGTTGATGATTCTAAGTTTCTTGAGAAAATTATTTAGGGGTGATACTCACTGGATTGAACAGCAGTGTCTGGAAGAGCTCTCCTCCCCGTATACTATTCTCAAGTCGACTTCGACCTCCTGGGTACTTATCAATGAAGATGGTATGTGTGAAAAGACCACAGGTCTGACGCGGTAGCACCTAAAATATATTAATTTAAACATATCAAATATATTAACAGAACAAGACATACAGTGCTAAATATCACTTTTCTATCTAGAAATTCAAAATAGCCACCAAGTAATTTACCCAGAATGCCCAAAATCTAATGCACAAGTGACAAAGAGCTGACCTCCAGATTGCTAAAATAAACAAATGAACAAGAAGCATTCGAAGTTAACCCCAAATAGTCAAGCAATAATTGTTCTGATCCTAACAGCAAAATTGAGGTAGAAACCTGTTGTGGCTTTTGTGAAATTTTAGACACACAGACAAATAGACAAGCCATAGACGAGCCTGACCTTTCAATGTAATGAGCAGATAATGATGGGGACCTAAAACTATTTTCTACCTTGATTCCTCGATGTATAAAGCCTCGTCTATACCGTGCAGGACGTAGATGAGGATATTCCTCTGTGCTTGTCACCTTGACGCCCCAAACTTTCTTCCAGGCATCGTAAAGCTCCTCGTGTACAGGGTACACCCCGCTATGATGTGGGGCCACGGCATACCCAGTGAATGCTTTTATACCTTTCTCCTACAAAATCAACAGACATGTTTATATACAAACTCGTTAGTAATATTACATTATCATTATGTATTCAAAATATTCCTTCTTGTTGTGTTTTTATTTTATACTAAAAAGCTATGTCTTAAAAATATACTCCAAGATGTTTCCAAATTCATGGCATTAACCAGAATGATAAACATTCATGAAATAATTTTTTACAGAGAACTCCAGATGCTTTCAAATGCACTTTCAAATCTTTATTTTTTTTCAATTTTAAAAACAGAGAAGTTTAAATGTACATATAATGTATATATTTTACAGAACTTATATTTGTAAAATTATTTCATAATGAGAAACTTAATTGTACAAATGAACAACAATATACCAAAGCATGCACTACAGTACATACATATGTAGACAGTATTCTCCCCAGGATTTTTTCAAGTTAGTGCAAAATTTGTACAATCTTGACTAAAATTAGTCAAAATAGGCTTACTTTTTCATGGTTTTTCTTAATTTCATGTGGGTGAAAAAGAGTTTTCAAGTGGGCGCAAATGAGCCTTCAAGTGGGTGCAAATTAGCTTCCAATTGGATGCAAATGAGATTTCATCTTAGTTCAGGCCTATTTCCAAAACCCTAACCCTACAGTGCCCACTTGCTTTAACATTGAGGAGAGTACCGTTCTACCAGTATATACCAAACTAATTGTCAAAGTTTCCCTTAATCTATGCTTGTATCATACTTCAAATTGTGACGGTTCAGATCAGAGAGATAACTATGATAACGGTTCGGATCAATATATGTCAATGAAATGTGCTACTTGTTAGCAAAGATCACAGAGCCATACTTGATCAAGTTCTATAGTTTTTTAATACATTTAATGTGATGGCCAATCACCCTTGTTAATAAATGACTGTTGCTAAATATGTTAAGTGTGACAGTTATAACTTACCTTTTGTTATCAAAATGTGACATTTGAGTAAAGGACCCCCAAACTCATTCACCAGTTTGATTTTCAATTATGAAAATGTCATAACTTGGTAATCTAAGATGAAGGACCCAAGTAAAATGTTTTACTTAACATGTAAAACAAAATTACTTCCAAATGCTCTTCAATTGTTAAGTGCAAATTTGTGATTCTTATTTTGAAGGTGTGACATACTATAGGAGCCTGGATGATAATAACCTACTGCCCAAGTGTGACATATTAAAATAGAACTAGAAGAGTACCACCTGCCCTTCAATTAATAAGTGTGACAAATTCTTGATTCTTTTCTCAAAAGTGTGACACATACCTACCACCAAAAAGAAACAAGTCTGACATAATGCGATGGCAAAATGTGACATTAATACAAGTTAGCAAAGTGTGACATAAATTCCTTGGCAAAGAGTGACATAAATACCTTTGGGAAAGTGTGACATAAATACCTTAGCAAACTTGACATTTTCGGTCATCTCTCGATGAAGCTGAGTTTGGTTTAACTTTGCTGCCTGTTCATGGGAGTACATGTGTCCAAACCACCAGAATGCATCCTTATACGCTGTGTATTACATAATAATTGAATTTGAAATGGATAAACTAGACATTTCATTATCATACAGGGGGAGGGGCAATCCTCATTTAAAGGAATCGCCCTTGGGGAAAGCAGTCAGACTGGATGGACATATCACTATGGGAACCCCTATCGTTATTGTGACTATCGCTCAACTACACTACAGCATGCATAAATGACTATAAGATAGCAAGCATCAAAGGTAATCAAATAATGTGTTATTATAAAAACATTATTAAATCACACATCTAAGAATTGTACAAGTGCGGTATTGTGAATTTGTTCTCATGCAAATAGCAATTTATAATCAATCTGATAATAAACAACAAAATAGGCCATGAAGAAACAAAAAGTAACAATCAATATGCAAAATATTTACAATGAAAATTCACAATATGTGCAAATATACAATATTTATTATACAATACTCTAGCTATACCAGAAAGTTGGTAAATCCCATGAGCTTTTTAACCTAACAGAAACACATTGCATTATGGGATTGACCTTGACTTCCTGGTGCAAGTACCTAGAATTAATCTACCAATGTAACTTAACCCCAGCACTCCTATATTCATTTAATTTTCAGACAATGTTCACATATGGTACAATCTTAGTGATAATTTGATTATATGACAGGGTAATACATATGAAAGTATTTTTTCATGTATTTTTTACAAGTTGGCAAAAAATCAAAGAGGTTTCAAATTCTTAGTAATATTTTTATACCTTAGCACCAGATTTTATCATTAACTGTTTTAATTTTACTTTGCCATGGCATTTTTAAATTACTTTAATATTTAAAAAATCTGCTGGGGTTAGGTTCTTGGGCAAAGTCCCTTGTCACCATCCATAAACCCCATTTTCCTACCCATATCTGTGAATATTCACAACTAGTAATGAAAGATGGCATTACTAGTCTTGAGACCTGGGTGTCCAGACCCATGAGAAGGTTTGTATGTTAGGAGATAAGGGTTACAAATGGGTTTAAGGGTGGTTACATATATTATACACAGCAAGGGTTACACATATGCACCACAACGATATTGTGCAATGTGGACGATTTGTCTTATACCTGAGCGAAGTTCACATTGATGCTCATATCCTGATAAAGGCGTGTCAGGTTCGTGATTTTATGAGGCTGCGTATGCCCCCACATATGTGGGAACCACCAGAATCTATCCTGGTATTCTGAAGATTCAGTAAGCATATTAGTAATAAAATGGAATGGATAAATAAACAAGGCATTAACATGCAAAATGTCACCACCTGCCATTTGTTACAGACACCAAACGCCAGACACTGGACGCCGACCACTGTCAATGGAGACAATAACAGTATGTCACCACATTTGGTGGTGACATAAAAATGGTAAACACATATAGGAAGATCTATAGTCTTGCGTCAAGTATCTCGACCCTCTAACCCCCACAAACAATCACTGACCTTCCAAAAAGAAGATGTGTAGGGGGCACAAGTATTTGATGTAAGGTTATAGGATCTGGATCTAGAGGCTCTTAGTCTTGTTCTGGATCAAATCCCTCTATCATCAAAATTTTTTTATTGCTTCCACCAAACTGCATGTGGATGTAAAACTGGCTTAATATTTGCTCTACTGAAACGTATTTACTTTCCATATGCCCCCTTTCACTTAGCAAAAATCGGGGATACTCATTGATTCAACTCAACACGATATTGACAATACTTGTACAGTACTAGTATACTCTTATAATATATTGGTTCAAATAAACTGTAAGCCAATAATAGCATAAAATGAAGCTGAACTGAAAATTAGAATACCATGCATTATCTTGGTAGAAAATTGAGTAACACTGTCACATCTATCATTTCTATTATTAGCTTTTCTATTAAAGATAATACATGACAGACTTCAGTACAAAAGCAAAAAGCAAAAACTTGGGGACCTGTCCAATATGCAAATTGTAAAAGATTTTTAGTTAAACAGTATATATAATATATGCACATGTATATGTGAATTGAAATATTTTTGTATTCCAAAATTTTAGAAAGCATGTATATATTAAAATGCAAGGCATTAACATGGAAAATGTCACTACCTGCCATTAGTTACAGACACCAAACTCCAAATGCCAAACTCTGAACACCAATCACCGAACCCCTTCCACAAAAAAGTTGGAGACTATAACAATATATCACCCTCTTGTGGTGGTGACATAATATCAACGCCTTAATGTAGCCAAACTTTTATGATAGTTAATAGTCATGTATCAGGTCCCTGTTCTGCCTCAATTTTTCCAATCAGTGAGTGATAATGGACAATACATATAAAGGGGCTTAATACAAGACTACCTCAGAACTTGGGTTTCTTATAAAATCATTGGACGAAAAATAAATAACTGGATTGGGAATAGCCTTCAGGCTTTATTCATCTATAATATCAAGATATCCACTCTTATAATAAAATAAAATATTATTGGCAAATTGATTTCTAGATCCCAGTAATCTGATTTAGTGATGCATATGAAAGTCAGATCCAATTCCCTAATACTTTTCTATTGACTATAAGGGATTACTGGTTACTTTAATATGTTACAAATTAACGTCAATTCCTCCATAGATATTTGTTATCTGTTAAAACACTAATGAATCTTTTTCTAATTTACTAATGATGTTAGAGGGGAACCGATACATCAAAGGACAACTGGCATTTTTATTGAGATATATTACTCTCAAATGTTTTTGTTCCTTTTTTAAATGATAACTTCTAAAGCTTTGCTTGGAGAAAAAAAGCTGTTGATGATAGTTCATTGATTTTTAATCTCGCATTAAGCCCTTACACCCCCTCTCACAGACATCACATTCTGGGGGTTGAAGTAGATAAGGAGGGGGGGGGGCTCTAGGGACGTGATGAAAGATTTCCTGATGTTAGAAAAAACAATAATTTAGGCCATTGCATTATTCCTAAGAGAAGTACATAACATGCATAAAATAACAACAAGTTCATTACAAATGTACGTTGTCATGGAAATAATTAAAAATAAGTCAGTTACAAATGTGAGTTGGCTGGACCTTGAGCATTTTGAAAACACATTCTATATTTAAACATATTCAACTAGTGGTATAAACTGTGATAAAAAAATTCTTCACAGAAGATGCAAGCAATTTCCATCTCCACATTAATATATAACACTTCTTTATTCATCTATCGAGAATAACACGAGTTGTACCCTTTGCATTCGTTTGACTTCACTTCTTAAAAGAGAGCTTCGTCTTCACTCTTTCAAACTAAAATAAACCTGTGAACTCACCGCGCCAATCAGTGTTCGTCGACCAAATTTGACCGACGTTCTATATATGGTCATTCCTTCTGACGTCATCGTTGACCCCGGAATTGACCAATGACACGCGCATATTTAATTAGAACGCATTTGGCGTATGTTTCTTCAAGTTCGCTGATTGGTGGAAGAAAGGTCAGTGCGTAGTAGGTCAGAAGTGATTTATTGCCAAACTGTCACCGGTATCCGTCGTGGGGGCGGGGCTACTAAACTGTAATATGGTCTCTACTAGGCAGAGTGTAGTTTAACTAGACTCTGCACGCAGGGTACACGAGTTGATAATTTCTGATTATAAATGAAGATTGAAGAAGTTTATATAAACTAATCATAATTATTGTTACCTAGCAACATGTCATCTCCGGCATCCTCCTCATCGTTACCACGGTGATAGTATTTCCCAGAGAATCCTAGATTGAAGTGGAAACCTGGGATTGATCTCCGTAACCGATCCTGGGAATCTATCAAGGCCTGAAATAATGTATTTTCATTATTTATTAAAGTAATGCTTAAAGATCTAATAGCAAAGGTTTTGCAAAAATGAATCAATGTAGTATAAAACAAATGTATGTATAATGAAGAAATAAATATACAATGAAAAAAATAGATACGTGCTTGTAATATTGGTATTAACTTATGATTAAAAAGTGTCACTATCTCTTTCATTTTTCAACAAATATAGGCTCACGTGACATGTGACGCGGGGCAGGCAATTTTGATCTATCGTAGACCATATCAGTATCAAATTGCCGATATTTCAACCTCGTCTTGCGAGGCCATTTTGATTTGAAACATCTTGAATTTGGTGTCAAAATAAAGCTGGTCACGCCCACTTTCATAGTTATCAATGAATCATTTACTACGACTACTATATTCATTTAGGAGGCGTGTAAAGTTAACCAATCAGAAAGACAATTGTTCCATATATGGCAGTTCATTCACATATTCAGTGCTTACTACTGTTTTTCGCGTCATGACAACATGAGGGAACGTGAGTAGTAACCAATCAAGATGCCGTATTTTATCACGTGATTTCAGAGTGAAAAGTACACGCGTACGACAACGACATGTAGTCTGAGCTGATCGCGATGTTGAACAATTTCTTCTCGGAATTTGTCCAGAGAAATTAGCGATTCTAAATTAAGATAGGATCTGCCATTTCTTCCTGTACAAGTTTTAACTTATCTCTAATGAATACTAAAATTTTGGATGAAGATATTAAGCATACGTTTAAATACGAAGCGATTAATTTGACGATCTGATTTTGCAATTTGCAATGGCCAATTTACAGCAAGTCTGCGTGTATTTGACAAGAGATAGCCAAGTCTTGTATCTAAATGCTTGTTAAGCCTTACTCAAAAACATTAAGATCCATATTTTCTAAAGTTGATAACTTTGCAGAAAACCTGTTTTCATAACCTGATTTCCGCGTCAAAAATTCAAACTGAGTAATAGGAATGGATCGGTGGGATCCTCAGTCTCCTCGGGTCTTCATTCCAGAACTCACATTTTTAGTTGATTCTCCGACCGTCATAGTACTTGTCTAAAGTATCCATATTTGCTCTCTTACTGGTATACTTGGACACATTTTCCCCTGTATTTTCCCCAGTCAAATTACACCCTCTCGCCGATTTATAAAAGCCATTTCTCAGAACCCGGGAATCAGAATCGCTGATGTTTGCCATATTGAACATGTTGAAATATGTACTGTAATATCTGTATTGCCTACTACGCGTAATGGTCACGTGACTAGCGCGATACAGGAAAAATGGGGAATTTCGAAACAACAATTTTTGGGCACTTTTATTGCAAATTTCAGGTATCTATAAGTGTTTGTGGTATAAAATATCATCCCCAGACATAAATGAACATCCAAACTACATATTTTATTAAGTTTTGGAGCCTTTTTTACTCTTAAATCAACATCTTTAATTAATTTGTAAATGCATGCATCAATAGTTACTAGTAAATCCCATAATTTTTATCCCATTTTTATCCCATAATCTGATATATGAGTTCCTTGAAAAATAGTTTTGAAATATGCTCAAAATTAATGTTAATATAATTAAATAATGCTAATAATGCTATGGGTTTGAATGTTGAATTTGAGAATATACAAATAGGATGTAATACAAAATGGTATTTTTGATCAAAGAAAAAGTCATTAAGGTTTTATAATGTATATACATGTATACTTTAACACAATAAGTGATTCTCTTCTTAAACAAGTAGCATAATCTCCAGCCAAACAAGGTACACTACCTGAAGTCCTGTATGAAGCCCCCCCCCAGGATACATTTACAGACTAAAGTAGTAAAACCAATTAGAAACCTAAACAAGGCATTATACCATCCACAAAAAGTTCAGAATATAACAATGTCACCACTTCTGGTTTTGATATAAAAACTAGTTTCAAAATAGCCAAGCCCCCATTTCCTCCTTTATTCTCTCTTAAAAAGAAACAAGGAAGAAGCAAACCAGTAGTTTTGCTTCAAGTCATACCCCAACCCAATCAAGTTTCTCCATTTAGATGTATCATAAAAAGGGCTCCAATCAAGACTACCAATCAGAGACTTCAGATCCGACTCCCTATATCCGACTCCCTATATACTTTATGTCTAGTTATATACAACTAGGCACAAGGGCTCCAAGCAAGACTACCTATATCAGAGACTATAGCAATATCAGAGAGATCTTTTATTAATTAAGTCCTTGGATCTTAATCCCTTTATCTACTTTATGTCTAGGCATATACAGCAGGGCACAAGAAGGGCTTGAATGAAGACTAATTTTCTAAGAGAAATATTTCAAGTATTGTTTACCTTGACATCTGCTGGCTTCATCCTAGTGCCGACCTTGCCAACGAAGATATCATCGATATCAATGAGGATGTTCCTCTCAAGAGTAATGCTGAACTTTCCATGGGAGAGGAACGACAAGGCATCCAGGAAAAGTAATATATGAACCCAGCACTGGAACCCATTTCCAAAAAGCACACGATTGATGTCATCATATTTTCCAGTGTCGTGAATCACGGTGGTGTAAGCATGTTCTTGATAACCATCTGTGATGTTCTGGAAGCGTTTAGCAGTTTGTGTTTTCGCGTAAGCAAGGGGTCGATAGGTGGCATGTTCAGGTTCGAAAACCGTCCAATCATCCCCTGGGATGTCTCCATAAAGGATTTCCCCGGCACGAGTCACCCGCAGAATTTCAGATTGTGGGTTCAATTCATAATCCTTAACTGCTAAATTGTTGTAGAGTTTCAACGGGAAACCCTGAACCTCCGTGACGTAGGGGACGTCAGGTTCCCCGCCAGAGAAGGCGATTATCCCGACATTATATTCTCTACAATATTTATCCAATAGCTGCCTATTCCATTTATCCAAGGAGGTATATGATTTTAATCTCTCGAAAATAATTACTCCAAATTTCCCTTTGTCTAAATGTGTGAGATATGGTAAACTTTTACCGGCAATGTCCATTTTGTATTGTATTCTGTTTGCTTCTAAGATACCAATAATTGATTGTCCTAGTTTACTGTACTGCGTTTCGACGAGAAGTAGAACTTTGTTGTCGATTCTGAGGCTTGCGCTGGAAACATGATTATGAGGGGTGTGATTTATATTTGATTTATGTACTGTATTGTGTAACCGGCACTTTATCGTTGGTTCCGGAGGATTTCGGGCCACCGTGTTAAAATGAGTCGTTGAGACATAATATGAAAAGCAACATAGAGAGATAATACAACATATCAATGCAAACAACAGGGTCTTTATTATGGTACCCTGACGCACATAAAATATCCGTCTTATTCTATTGAAACATGTGACCTCTTTCTGAGGTCCACCTAACAGTGTTGTTTTCGCCATTTTAGACCTTGATTCCTTTATTGGTCAATCCTCGGGAATATATCGTTAAAATAAGCTCCTTAGTGTGTATCCAAAATCAGTAATTCTTGTACAATTGTGCGCTGTATTTAGCACCTTTTTAGTACTTCCTAGTAGTATATACAGTCTTTTTACTAAAACAAAAACGGATCCAAAATATGTGAATCAAACTTCGACTGTTTGTCTTATCTGATAGACCCCCACTGTAGAATTGTAGAAATTCTCACAACAATTGGCGACTGTTATGTCTTCCTGACTTGTTATATAAATTGTCTGAGGTCAGAATAACTATTTTTCCCATTTGTTTAATAGCTAATAAAGTGCCACATAGATATCTTTCACTTTAGATTGTTCCAAATAATTTCATTTGATATATTCAATTCACATTTGATGGCATATAGGTATTATTAAATACTTAACCAGCGTCAGTTTTAATCTCGCTGAAAGACAGATGCTATGTTTGAAGATCTTCTAATCTATTCTGATCACTCGTATTAATTTTATTTAAACACAGGTTTTGTTGTTTATCACAAATTAAGATCTTCAGAATAATCTTCTCTTCCGTCTTCTGAATTTGAATCCAAACTGGGGGCGGCTATCCATGATGCTGATGGTGCTTGTAAGGGGTCTCTGTGCATAGATCGGCCATTATACAATCTGAAACACAGGAAAACAGAAGTTGTACATTATATTTATAAACTAATTGTGGTCGGGTAACAACATGAGATTATGTACACTCAAAAAAAGGGGGAAATAGTCCAGAATTCATAGATGAACAAAGGAAATATCCCAGAATTCATAGATGAACAAAGGCGAACTCCCGTGCAGTGATATATCACTGCGGCGGGCAGGTTTCTCACCGTAAGCATGGTAACATCATAATAAACAACTGACGTGATTGGTTCTAGCCCCATGCTCAGGTCGCGTGATTGTAAAATTTAGACAATTTCAGTGGTTGAATTGCGCGTATTAACTAATAAACAACACGTGCGGTAAACTTTTATCAACACAACCTTTACTCAGATTTCCTTCCGCGGGGATTTCCTCTTATATTTCATTGATTTTGGAATATTTTGACAAAATAATTATTGGTGAACATAAAAGAACATATATTTTATAAGTTGTGTGAAAAACAAGTACATCTGTGACAAAAAGGGGGACTATCTTCCCCAAATTTTGGGGATTCCATAATCTGCCCGCCGCAGTGTCTATACCGAGCCACTGCATAGGAGTTCGGAACAAAGGAAATATCCCAGAATTCATTGATGAACAAAGGAAATATCCAAGAATTCATAGATGAACGAAGGAAATATCCCAGAATTCATAGATGAACAAAGGAAATATGCCAGAATTCATAGATGAACAAAGGAAATATCCCAGAATTCATAGATGAACAAAGGGAACATCGCAGAATTCATAGATGATCAAAGGAAATATCCCAGAATTCATAGATGAACAAAGGAAATATCCCAGAATTCATAGATGAACAAAGGAAATATCCCAGAATTCAAAGATGAACAAAGGACATATCCCAGAATTCATAGATGAACAAAGAAAATATCCCAGAATTCATAGATGATCAAAGGAAATATCCCAGAATTCATAGATGAACAAAGGAAATATCCCAGAATTCATAGATGAACTTATCTCCATATTAAGAACCTCCATGGTTTGTATACAGATAGGTTAATCAATGAATAATGTCATACTCCCTTACAAGTCTGATTTTCAATGAAAACTTACACCATAGTAAACCAAGATGGAATAATGTGGAAACTCAAACATTTCTTCTTGAAATTGATTACAACTTAAACAGTCTTCTACAAGTATCACATGTTATCATTTCAGAGTAATAGGATCGAACCTATATATTTACACTGATTCTCATTACATAAGACGTGTATAATTTATAAGTAAATGAGTTTAGAGAGGTTATAAAGCGAACCTGTACTTGGAAATGTAATTAGATATAAATATCATGAACCCAAGGGATCACTGCCCCCCCCCCTTTCAATGTCAAAATGTCAAAAATAGTTATTCTATTTCCGTCCTTTGTTCTGGACTGTACTGGACTAATAAATAAACCATCAGATGATATATTAACCATCAGAATGGCTCCATTTCACTCTCAATTTTAGGTTAATTAAGTATAATGAAATTTAGGGACTAGGTCAAAGTGTCAAAAAAGTATTTTGACAGTTGAAAGGATAATTCTCAAACCATTCTTAGATTATGTTAACAGACATGGAACTGATGTTAATATGAATTAATAGCTTCTACCGTATTCCAATTAAATCTTTTCTAACTAAATAAATGTAACAAAAATAATATTTTTTTAAACTCACCATAAAAAGTGAGAATTGACAAAGCCCCTAATGAGTCAATTATATCTGCTAATTAGAGAATAATTTGCAATTATGCATATAATGACATGTAATGACTTTAATGTTGGCATTGATGATTATATATCAATTCATCAATTGTACTGAATTCATCAAATTAGTGCTTTACATCCACAGCTTTCTAATGGTGTCCTAAAACTAGAAAAAAAATTCTCTATAAAGTATAGTAAAACTTGTATAATCTTTCAGATTGGTAGATGTTTACATTTTCAAGATGGTCCCAATTCAACAAAATTTATTTTGTATTTCTCATTTTTTCTATCATATCTATATAATTTCGACCATTCGTCTACTTTATTCCCCGTAGATAGCATTTCTATTCTAGTTTTGCATTAAAAGCCTAACATTCATGACATTTGCAGAAGGTTTAATCAGATAGAGAGGTTGGTTTATAAAAGATGTCTTCCTCTCTGATCTGTCAGTTCCAATCCTTTTCAAGTAAATCCATTTGATCTCCATAACATTTTACATAAAAAATATCATGTCTATGTCCCTTAATGAAAACCAATTGATTGATTAGACATAATTGTATTTCTGTTATTTTATTGAGAAATAAGATTCTATTGGGTTCTACTTAGAGAATCTACAATACTGACTTCAGAAAATTTACAATTTTTAAAAGTTTCTATATTAGCTCTGAAGGATTTACACATCTAGAGTCAATACCTTTGGGAGTATATTTTAGCTACTTTTTTCTGTATAACACTATTCAAATATGCTCTAGCCAATTATAACTGTCTCCCAAGCTCAAGTCACTTAAAATCATCAATTCTTGGACTTGAAGTTCACCCACAAATTATTTCTATTATTGAATATTGAATACCCTAAGCATATACTAATGTAATATCCTCTGACAAGGACTAAAAATGTTGCTTTACTTTTTTTTTATAAGAATTTATTCATTCAAACTTATTATTGTTGCTTTACTTACTGTGTTAGATTTGACTGCTTCGCTTTTCGCTTATGTATTTGCTAATAATGTTCACAATCAGGCACAATTCAAAGGTTAACATGAGACCCTGTGTGGCCCCAAAGAGGGAATGGCTAGAGATATAAAAATTGGACCTTTAAGTTCCCTATCCTGGGAGCAACCTAGGGAGTCATCTCGTCTCTAGGAGCAATGATTGCTTGTCAAATATAGATCTTAATTCTGATCATCATATAAAGAACTATGTCAAAATCCAACTTGCTGGTACAATATTGCGTGTCAAATCCCTGACCCTCCCTCCATGCCTCCATGCATAGGAGGTTTCACACAAATACAGAGAGAACTATCTCATGGGCAGAGTCATAAATGTAGAGTGTCAAACAATCACTATTGCCAAGGGTAAACACTGCAGGAAGTATTATATTAAACTAACTGTTGTTTGAAAAATAGATGTTCCATTATAGACAAAAAACCTCTGAATAGAAAATAGAGGACCAAGGAAGAGTTTTGGAATGACATTTGAAAATTTATGGTCTGTTTTTAATCAATGATTCATAATGAAAGTACAGTATGGTAGAGGTACGCTACATTATAATTTACAGTTGTTTACATAAAAAATGTTTTTTCACATGTGCATCTACAATTGAGAAAAAGATGTAGTCCTAAAGCATTAAACGCCTACACCAGTCAAAGGAATAATTAGTGTCAATGAATAGGATAAAATATGAATGATTCTGACAGTGTCTTTCTTGAAACCGTTAAAGGGTATGCATACCCTTTAACCCAACCTTATTTCATAACAAGAGTCCAGTGTCTTTCTTGAAAACATTAAGGAATATTCCTTGCCAGACCCTTTCTCTCTTGATATGGTAGCTATAATCATATATATAGTTTCCATATTTAGCAAAACATGGTAACATGATGGGAAAATGTTTTAATATGGTCAATATTGATCATTTAAAAATCTAGTGCTTATTTCCAGTGAGCTGCCATCTTTTAAGATTTCTTGCAGGAAGTGATGTCATCAACTCTCAACTTCTATAACCTTGCCCATAACAGTATAGGAAAGTAGCACAAAATCACTTCTAAACAAGTGATCATTACTTTCTGTGTAAAAATATTTTCAGGGCTTGTCAACTTAGAATAAAAGAAGAGATTTTCAGAAGGATTAAATAAGATACAAAGTTGAAAAAGAATATTTAGCTGGTTTTGTAATTCTTAATAGCTCCTCACCTAATGCTATATGCAAAGATGAGAGTCGATGACATCACTTCCTGTGTGAAATTTTAAAAGATGGCAGCTTACTGGAATTGAGCATCACATTTCTAAGTGATCAAATTTGACCATATCAAAACATTTTTGCGTGTTTTGCTAAACATGGCAAGCATATATATGGTTATAGCTACCATATGAGGAGAGAGATGGTTTGGCAAGGAATATTCCTTTAACCCTTTCCCGACGTGAATATAAGAGGAAAATGTTGGCCCTGGTGACGGATAAGTAAGAGCAGTTTTTAGGGGAAAACTGCAAAATACCTACGCCCTGGGACCTATACCCTGAATTTTATCACTGAAATACAATTTTTAGTAAGGATTATCACATTAGAACAACTTGTCAAAATTTGCTGTAAAAATACTGAATAGAACTGGAGATATTGTCATTTCATTGATGTATATAGATAAAAATAATGGTGCCAAAAGGAGCCTATCGTCCTGAAAGGTATTACATAATAGGGCTCCATATGGAGCCTATCGTCGTGAAAGGGTTAAAGGGTATGTATACCCTTTAACTCAACCTTATTTCATAATAAAAGTCAAAAACTTTACTTTTTACTTGAGGTCACTCTAGACATTTTATACCTAAGTTAACCAAATTATATACTGGAGAGAAAGAGTATGGAAAAAAGTTTTCAATTCTTGTAAAGGGTGATCTTCTCTCTTAGCATACTGACCCCCTAGTTGGAAACCAATTAGTCCATGGTATCAGGTTATATATAAACCAACATTTGATCAACAACAAGTCACAAACTGTTATGCCCATCCCAAAATACTCTAAATTAGAGGTACATGTAATTTCAAGTCTTTTCCATTCCAATCAGAATATGCAGTCCAAAACTTTTTCAACAAGAATTTCACACTTGAGATATACAGGTATTTTTATTACTGAAATTAAAAATCAGTTTTCAACCATGCCAAAGTCCCCCTGACCCCCGCCCCCTCCCCTCTCTACTTCACCTCCAGTCTTTATCTGGTCTTTATTGGAGTGAGATATTTAGGAAGTCACATATTAGCTTATTAGCTTATTAGCTCCTGGAAATATATAAGAGT